CCGAAATAATTTTATAATAACTGACTGACTGAATCAGAATCATAAAATACATATACATACATGGCAACATATTTTTAGAAATTTCTTATGAATACTAACTAGGTAAGTATGTATTGATAAAATGATAAAGTTTTTAAGACATTATTTTTTATAATAACAATGACAAATCATATTCAAATTAAATCCTATGAATATCAAAAGTAGGCAGCCACAATAAATATGTAACAGACAAAGTAATATTTGAACAAATTGTTGATAAAATTTACGCCACACCCTGCATATGGATATAACTTCATTAAACTGTTGTTGGAGTAATTGTGATATGTTTTTTTTTTTCACCGGATTTAGAGAATTTTTAATCCTCTTAAAAAATTTTGATGTTTATTTTGTATAACTTTATCCGTGACATGAGTCGTTTCTGTAGGCTATTTTGTACAGTACGACTAACTTCATGTTTAATGTGTGTTTTTGATATATTTTTGTATATATACGTTATGTTCGCTTCTTTTAACATTTTTAGGGACAAATACTGTTTATCAAGTTAACACTAAATTGTATATAATTCCTATTTAAAAGCTATTATATAAAATAAGACTGGAATATTCGAATCTTTGTTTCTAAAGTTAGGCACAGCTTCTTTCCTAACATATGCTCTCTATAACTTCTATTGGTAATAGAATATATAATGTGTATTGACTCAGAATATTTTAACATACATTTTATTTAAATTGGGATAAATTTTATCATCATCAGCCCATCAGAGCCCACTGCTGAGCAAAGGCCTCTTTCTCACATGGAAATGGTTTGAGCATTAATCACCACGCTTGCTTAAGACGGGTTGGTGATTTCAAACTTATAATTGTGAAACTATTAGTCCAGGTCTCCTCACGATGTTTTTCCTCTATTCACCGTATGTCAGTGGTGACTAATTACTCTCAGACAGTACATATGACTCCGAAAAATCACATTGGTACTTGCCAGTATCAATTTAAATTCTATAAACATCTCTAATAACTGTTAAGTTTCTCTAATGGATATATTTAAAATCTTTGAAAAAACGTCTCCTTATTTAGAGTGCCATGTGTCTTGTTCCGTTCTCCAAATCCGGGTCTGACATTCGTCAGTTGTATGTATAACAAAGGGTGTAACAAGTGTGTAATGAAGCGTGCCTCCAGCGCTAATCAATTAAGGCCGCGCTCGCAGTGAGCGCTAATCAAGCCGTCACAAAGACGCACATCAAACGAACTGCGGCGTGTTTGCTCCCGCTAAGTGCTGCTTAACCCGAGATTGTGGGCTCTTTCCTCCACCACTTCACATGTGACCGAATAAATTTCGGATAATATTGTCGGTACAGGGAAAACAACTAACAACTATAACAAGCGATTGATGTTCGACTAAAATTACACTAACACTAAGTATATGTAAAACATTCTCGTATATGAAATATTACTTTCGTAATTGAATATGTGACTAATACTTGGGAATTTGATAAATCGAAGGACGCGAGATTTGAATAGACAATTTGAATGGGCGACAGTTTGGGTGAGTAAGTTTTTCCCAAGTATGGTGTGGAAGAAGCCGGCGGCTCCGCGTCGACGGTCGCCCCTCGGTCCTAATTGAGAAAGTTTAGCGGAGCGCGAAAATTTCTTTAAAGGCCGTTCTAACGGATGTCCTTCGGGTGTTCGTCCCCTTCCAGATTACGGTATGATGGCCTTCCTAGATGTCTCGAGATGTTGATGGCAGATTGATTTTGTGAAAAGACCTACAGAACACGTTCCGATATACATTCTTTGCAATACCCTTCTATATAACTTGGACAGTTTTGAAATTAATATGAAAAAATATTAAAAAAAAAAGTTCTACCTTTCACGATATAGTCGACTAAAAATTGTAATACGTAGAGTCGGTGAGGTGAGTAACAACAACAAAGTAATATCAGAATGGAGCCATTAAAAATGACGCCGGAGAGGATTAATTGAGGGATGGCCGGAAGTTGGGAATGGATTGTTGTGATCAATACCCGCGGGGATCCGCACGGCTATGGGCTGCGTTTGTTTTTACCCGCTACCCGCTACCCGCTACCCGATACCCGCTACCCGCTACCCGGCGTTGTTTAACCGATATAAACTACCGATTGGACGTTTATTTCGATGGAAATCCTTCGGGTGGAAACCCATTAAGTGATTAATAATGAAGGTCGCTCTGAATGTCGTAACCGATGGCCGTCCACAGGGTCCCAGATTTTTCTATGAGGCTTACCTTCCGTCTGTTTGTATTCATTCTATAATCATAATAAAAGGGTTTAATTTTCCTTATCGGTTTGTATGATTCATTCTTACCGAGACTGTTTATAGAGCGTAATATACTTCAATATCTAATTTCTACTTCCTACTCAGTAGTATCAGGTTCTCATATTACTCCGTTATCACATTAGAGTCACTTTCCAGTTACCTCCTTTTGCACTATTTTTTTCAATTAATTTCTGACTTCACAACGTTGCCACACTCTCCTCTATTAAAAATGTTATTTAAGTATTTTTAATTCACGCATATACATCATGTTTCTTTCAAGTAACGTGTTTAGTTCACATTTTTGTCCACCTTAGGAAAAATTTAAGTAATGTTAGTGTTGCATTTAATAACAATGTTCAATATTGTTATATTTATGTATTAAATATTGATATTGACAGACAATAAGTAACCAGGAATAATCCGTGTCAAGACCACAAAAGCGAATTGAATAAGCTGACTTCATTCACAGCAGTCCATTAGTCACGGAAGTAGCTGACTCTTGATAACACGTTGGTTTTGACTTTAGATGTTACAAACTGAAAATCAATTCTTAATATTTTGTTATATCATATTTCACAAAAATTAGTCAATCTCGATAATAAACTTAATAATTTTATATAATATTTTATGTTTATACTTTAAATTAATTACATATTGATTTAGGTTTTAATAATTAAACGAAATAATGATAAGTAAATAAGGTACATCGAAATGAATCTTTCTTATATAAATACTACTTTCTGCTTCAGATTTTTTAAGTCATTAAATTTTCTTGTAGATTAATTGTCTCAGTTTATTAATCGTCTATTAGTTTGATAAAAATCAGACAAGATAGTAATAAAATTCATTTCAATACTCGTTTTTCACATTTTCTGTTGTGTATATATTTTTATTTAAATATACACATACATTATACATGTATGTATAAAATATATATTAATGAAATATTCCGTGGTAGCAGATGTTTCCAATAATGAACCAGTAAGGGGAAACAACAGGCAATTTGAATATGGGTGATATTAAAAATTTATAAATGTAAGAGATATGTTGGTAAACAAACGTGCGGTCGACCACCGTGTGAAATAAAGGAGTATTAAATTAATCAAAAAATCATCATATAATTCAGTGTTGAAGTGTCATCAGTCATATATATTTGGATATTTTGACTAACTAGCTGCGCCCCGCGGTGTCAACCGCGGATTTCCGGGATGTAAAGTAGCCTATGTGTTATTCCTGGACGTCAGCTTCCTGTATACAAAATTTTATCAAAATCGGTTAAGCCATTTGAGCGTGAAGAAGTAACAAACACACACACACTCACAAACCTTCGCAATTATAATATTCGTAGGATTTTGTTACCGTTGCTTTTGAGCTGTGTCTAAATCCTCTCAATATATTGTCCATGACGTGAAGGTACTGAAATTAGACGTATATGGCAGTATGGTTATATTCTTAATACCGACGGTAGTGTCAAGGCGTGCAGCCTGAATGAGGCGAGATTGAACCGGCACAATGAAGCAATCGGACCTCAACGCGTTTGTTATAATGTCAAATCAAACAGCAGTATTACGTCTCACCATACAATCATCCACAGTCGGACACTGAACCTAACTTTATTGACTAACGCCATATACCGACGTAGCCAAAAGACAAAAGTTTTTAAAGTTTGTAGCCAGAAGATTGTATTATAACTTTAGTAATGAGATGTTAGAAGTATAAATTAATACGGTTAAAATAATATATTTGAAATTATCTATAGAATGTTAATACTGTGAACTTTAAAGTTAAAGTTAAATTTGATTTTCTTCTCAAATGCATTTTATTATTAATCTTCAGGTAGTCTGTATACGTAGATATGTCTCCAGTTTTTTTATGACATCTGTAATGGTAAAATTTTTTTGTTTTTTAAAATGTTTTCTTTTAAATTGACTGTATTTTCACATATTTTTAATAATAAACTATTACATTTTGACAGTGAGACAATCTTATGACTTAAATTATAATCGGTAATAATTATTCTACAAGTGTTTTTTTCTGTCACGTGATTATAAAAAAGAAAGACAGTTTCGTAGTATAACGGGTGCAGTAAATAAAGCCTTTACGTTTATATCTAATATCATAATTGTTTATCAGAGCGGGTAAATAGTGATCTTAGTTCTTCCATTGTAAATAATGAGTGCCAAATAACGTACATAATATGAATGACATACATTTTGAAATAAGTGCCGATACGGGGCGTCCAATATGGAAATATACTTGATAGTCGGCATGGCGGTGCTTATCTACACGCTGGTGACGGTTTTGATCAACTGTGACTGTTGGAGGCCAGAGGAGAAGTGCAGCTGCGAGGAGTGTAAGACTCTGTGTCACAGCGTGAACCGCATCGTCACACCATCCGTAGTCTCCGTCTCCTCACGAGTTGATGTTTTTGACCGATCTTAATCAGTTAAACAGTGACGATATATCGTACTTAGATCCCATAGTAGATATCTTGTAGGAATTAACTTATATACTATGGCTTAATAAGAGAACTAAGAAAGATTCTAATTATATCTGCTGTTTAAGAGTGATAGAATGTGCCAAATGTAAGACTGTTGCTTTTCGTTCCTTCCGTGTTATAGTGTTCTATGTGCCAAAGTAATTGACATCGGTGTATATAGTTGTGTTGTGTTGTGTGGGTGATGTGCGGATCGTAAGTGGTTGCGGGCGATGGACCCGCTCGCGCGGCTGATGGAGGGCGCTCCTCTGCCGGGTGTGCTCGGGGCGACCAGGGACGCGAGGCCGAGAGGTGCTCTGGTGCATGCCAGCCTCGCCGCCGCCCCACACCTCGGAGATAAGAAGGGGAGACACCTTACAGGAACGTTCTGCCTCACCGGAGACACTATGGAAGGGATCATACAGTGCCTCGTCTTTTTGAAGGCTTTTTCGGTAAGTTGGACTTTGGACGAAACTACAGTCAAAGCTGTTAAATCAGGATTATAGACAGGGAGAAATGTATGGTTATAATATTACGGTTATTCTATACAAAATAACTTTCTCGTTCGCTAAGCTAATATGTATAAATTTAACTGAAAACTGCAATATAGACGAAATCTAAAATCTACAATTCAGTACCTAACAAAACCTTTACAAATATTTGTTCTTTCTAATTAATTTTGATGTGCGTAGTAGACAAAATGGTTATAAATGAAATAATAACGCGTTGCTATATAGAACTATTCGTGTCACATTGAATTGATATTTAATGAAAGAAGTAGAGTTGACACGGATTCATGCTTTTATAATAATTAGTCACTTGAAAGGGGGTTAACATGACTTTACGACACTTGATATTGTATACATATACATATGTATATATATATTGAAGGAATATATGAGGGTAGGAGAGGGGCGTACCACATGATGCGGCTTTCAACGGGGATCAGGAGTCTCTTTACGTTCGGAACGCGCGTTGGTGCGGCTGATTAATCGTACATAGATTTACGGAGCGGGTTTTAAATCTTTTGCTTGTATTGTATTCACATTTAATTTCAAGATCAGTTTAAATCGACTTACTTTTCATGTATCGATAATCGATTAGAACTTTGACTGGGCTTAACGTCTTCTAAACAAACTAATCTATTCTTAAACTGGGTTATTTCATTTGATGGAATTCATAGAAAAACTTACACGTATCTATGAAGTTAATTAGTTATTTTATGATGCAGTCACAATAAATTAATTACTTGAGAAGGGTGTCAGAAAAACTGCAATAAGTGAATATATATTATTGAGTCATACATTTATAAATTAGATGATTTTTATATTAGGACGGTATTATACATTGCATTGTATTCTTTTTCGTGGGTCCGTCGACAGAGATCTGGTGTTGACGTGATATCTATAATGAGCCCGTCATTAAGAAAAGTGTTTTCTATTGTTAGAGGAACAGCGAAATTTTTCGGAATCAAAAAAAAACGAAAAGTATTTATAGTAACAGGTCTGTGTCGCGATAGGAAGTAGAATAGCACTTTCCATATGAAGAAGGTGGCATACTGACTGTTGACAACTTCTGTATGACAAAAGATGTTAAGTTTTATTACTCCTGTATCTTATATATGAGAAGGGTTAATTTGACTTACTTCAATACAATAAATGTAAAATATTAATTTAGTATTTATAAAGTAAATCTAAATATACATAAAATGAATTATATTGAAAAGTTCGCATTCTCAGATGGAATCTGTTGCAAAGAAAATACCTCGTAAGAAAAATAATACTACATTTTTCTAGTTTTATTTGTAAAATATTTGGCTGGTATCTAAATATATTGCAATATCTTATTTTCATATAAAGTTACTTAAAATATAAACAGGAACAGCGACAATTGTTAAACAGAATTACGAAATCAGCTAGTTTAATTCATAACTCTCTACATTTTGAACAGGATATTAATGTAATGTTTATCTTTATTTACACAAGGTAACAAATGAACCTTATATCACGATATAAGCCACTAAAATACTCGAAACGACTTAATATTTAGAACAGAATGGATCAAACTAAACTCATACAGTTACACATGTAATGAAATATAGTCGGTAATACGTAGCTATAGGGTGTCACTGTGAAGTGTTAATGTTCCAACAATGTATTGTCATCATCTGTGTGCTTCATCTTCGAAGTTCTACATTGTAAGACGTCAGTGTACCTTGACGAACATAAGTCATATATTGTGTTATAAGAATTTGATAGTTATAAAGATATTTCAAACTAAACTTCTGTTGTAGCCACAAAATATCATTTCAGTTTCATAGTGTCAATACATAATATAAATATTCCACGTTTGTACTAATGAGATAACGTTTCTTAGTATTTCTCATAACAAGTTCTATCTCAATCATTTCTTAGTAATAGAATACCATATAATTTCATGTAGATTCTCGAGTCAGAATAATAGTAAAGTAAAGTAAAGTAAAGTAAAGTAAAGTAAATCTTTATTTGGGACATAAATGTTTGACAAACATTGAAGACAAGAAACAACAAATAATAAGACTATAATATAAGTCGGTACAAAAGAAAAAAAAATAAAATAAAATAAAAAAAAAGAAACTTGAACAAAACCAAAATACAATAATAATAATACAGAACATACTTAGAACCAAAAACTTAATTAGAAAATATATATATAATAACAAAAATAAAAAAATAAAAATAAAAGTGCTGCAGCTTATGTCCCAAAAAGGTATGCCACTCAGCATAACCTAGGAAATTCCTAGAAACTGATTTTCAGTGGCAGCCTTTTCATCCATGACGTGCAGTGACAAAGTAATTTCTAAAATTTAGTATGAAAATGGCATTTAATTTATAAAATCAGACCAGAATTACATAAAAGGAAAGGTTAAGAAGAGAGAGTGTAAGATTATTTATCTAAAAAAATTTATATTGAAGTCACCTAGCAGCCATATATAATCTCTAAACCTTTTTAAACCTAAAAAAAAAAAAACCAACTCTAAACCTTTTTTTCTCTGATCATTTTTGTACAATATTAGTTATTTTAGACATAGACTTATTAGGATATAGATATATACATAATTCGACATGTAATATTAAAGAAAATAATAATGCTTCAGAATGACAATTAATAAAGTTTCCATAGCAACATATAATTGATATATAGAGGAACTCATCCGCCAAGGACACGACTACAATTATAATTAAGTTTCATATTTTGCCATTCATGTTAATATAAGCCACCATAAATTGTTCTATATTGATATTATTTACTAGACACATTATGCAATTAAGTGTATAAATAATAAAAACTAAGAAACGAAACAAAAAAAATTTAATTAAATAACAAAATAATGAGGACTAACGAGTTCTTAAGACTTCGCTTAACCGGTACGTATAAATATTTTTTTTTAATCTTAAATTATATTTGTGCCAACCTGACTTGCACCAAAAATTTTATTAATATCGTTATCAGACCAAATTCGGTGGGCGGATGAACCTGGTTCCCGTCGCACATATATTTTTCCATCTCTTGACCATATGTAACGCCAACCACATTTCTTACCTTCTTCTTTAGCCCTGTGAAATAGCTGTCGATTGGTGGCCGTTAACCGCTCGTTAATGTAGATGCGCTTCGGCGCTCCCTCCATGATGCCCGACGTATCTATAACGCGCCGCACTCGTGCCGCTTGTATAATATCGTTTCTCAGTGTACGCCGCGCCAGTCTGACCACTACGGGCCTCGGACGCGCCTGCTCGCCATTGAGTGCTACGCTTCGCCTTGGTCCGACTCGCTCGGCGCTAACTACATCACGGGCGTCAATTTCGGTGCCAATTTTATTTGTGATAACCTGACACAGGTGCATGAGGTTTTCACCCTGTTGTTCGGGTAGCCCACTGATTTGTATGTCGTTTAACATACTCTCCTGTTCTCTTCGGCTTAGGTCTGCTTTCAATTGCTGTATTTGGGTTTGCAATAATTGCGAACTGTCGTGTTCGAAATTGTGATTCGAGACTTGTTGCTCCAGAGCGGTCATACGTTCCTCAACTTTATTAATTCTATTATTGAACTCACTCATAGTTGAGTTCAATTTCGCCATTTCTTGGCGAGATGTCGCCATTTCGAGCCGAAGGAGTCTTATTTCCTGCACCAGGGTAATATTGGCGCTGGTTTCTCCCATGTCTGCATCTACGTATTTCTCCGCAGGATTTACATTTAAGCTTAGAGGACTCTCAGTGGATGTAGTTGGCTTAGTTTTACTGCTGTCAGTGTTACGGTTCACTGTATTACCTTTTTCTGTACAACTTCGACAGGACCATTTGGCTGATATGCGAGAGTTAGGGCTTATGTTAGTACATGCTCGATGGAATACTGAACTACACTTGCAACATTTCACGCCATCTGTTGGTGACAGGAATTTTCCACATTGATAACACTTGTTAGCCATAGTATGTGATATGCTAATATTGTAAGCTGTATCTAACAGATGTCGCTGTAAATTAGTTTTAACTATAATATCTATAATTTAGTCCAAATAATATCCTTTCACGCACTATATTTACTTGCTACAAATAGATTCCTTCTTGTTGATAATTAAATTTAAGTTAATGACTATTGTCTATAACTAATGTCTTTTGCACAACAAATGTTTACACTTTTGTGGGTACATACGTTCAGCTGATTGTCAGTTCTTTTTTATCTCACTGTTCTTTGTAAATATATATTTGTAATTTACACTGTTATTTTAAGTTATTGCACTTCACTAACATGCGTATGCGTTAATGTAACAAAAATAAGTTTATTAAACACTTTTTATAAACAAACTATTGTCTTTTTTTATTTTAAATACAATGTTATAATGGGAGTACTTGTCACTGTCGGATGTTGATGTTAAACTCGAATAGGAGGATGAATCTTTAATATGATTCCAAAATATTCATATGAGTATATGTTATGTATGTGAATATCTCACAGCTTGTCTAAGGAGTAAATGATAAGTATATTTCGTTCCTTCCTAGTGGTTAAAGGCCAGGTTCCGAGGCGGCTCCTTGGCGCACCTTAGTTGTCGGATCTCATTTAATTCGCTTTGCTCTCAAAGCGTCAGGGCGAGGAGTGCTTGTATCGATTAAAGGATTTCACTGCTCATCCACGAGTACTTACTCAACGTTTTATTTTGAATCTCAATTGTTTTTGTTTGTAGATGCGAAGCTCCGTGTCTGTAGTCTTATTTTTGTTATGTTTAACGTGTGTTATTTTTTTAATATTCAAAAATTAAATAATTATAAGTAAGTATTAATAATAAGTAGAATGTATATGTATTAGACAAAAGAGCACCCAAAAGTAGGTACTTGTACTTTGGTGGAATCCTGAAAAGAGATGAAAGAATGAAGGATCCTGCTAGTAAATCTCCCGACACAAAGGGCCACGTTGTCTCTCTCTGCATGTTTGTTTTTTCCCAAACTTTTCTCTCTTCTTCTCTTCCATTATT